TATCTTATTACAATATCACTTTGTGTTTTCTGTTTTAATTTCCAATTGTTTTTGTTCAAACGCAGCATCAACAATTGCATGAATTGGCTAAAGCAAAATTCACCTGACGAATGAGGTCTGAATTTAAAAGTCGTGGCTGTGTTATGGACCGACAATTTAGCCAAAACGGGGGTGCATGTTTGACTTGGCCTCTGTTTATGAAGTTAAAATAAACTTGATTTTGGCAGTTTGAGAGAATATATAATTATGATTTGTCATTATCAGTAAATATTTTCAAGCGATTTAACCAACTATACTACGTCTACTGATATTTATATTTTTTCACATATTTAAAATAAGGTCTTTATCTGACTGAAAAAATAAGTAAATGTTGACATGCTGCATTTTCCTACGGGAATCCAAAATCTTCTAGTCTCTTGGAATTTAACAACTCTTTTCACGGGGAAATTCAATACATGGACTCCATAGTTTAATATCGTTGTTTTCATGGGAACCTAAAAATGTTAACGTATGAGGTCTTTTATATCTTTTAACCCAACGGGGCTCAATTTCAAGTTCTCAAGTAGAATCAATTATCTGCGTTCACAGAACATATAAACACACCATCAAAGACTTTATTATAAGTGCACAGTTTTAGATGATGAATCCTATTTGAAAAAATATTTCTATTATGTAAAATATATAATGATTTACAACATGTCTTTTGTATCAATTACAGAACACAGTACAAACATTTGTTCTGATAACAGAATGAGATAAATTCTGTATCCAACTACTAGTCAGCAAGTGAAATCTTTAGGCTCCATTGTTTATCAAACAGTCTGAGGACAGGGGCATTTGAGATAATTTTTTGTGTTTCATATTTTGTTTTATTTTTATGTAAATGTCATCATTTTTATTGCTGTTTAAACATGTACCTGTTATGCCTTTGAGCCTCTAGGGGTTTAATTTGTGCTTGACAAAGAAAAAAACCCATCGGGTACTGGAGACAACACCTGGAATGCATAAATGTTTATTCACCTTTGACTTACTTAACAAATCGTCATGTTAATTATTAGAAAAAATGTTAACTGTTACATTTAAAGATAAAATTGGTAACAAATATTTTGGAAAACTTTTTTCGATTTATCTGATAGGGGAAATTATTTCACATACATTATTAATTGTATACAAACAAGGACTAAAATGATTTATCGACCCCAGAGATATGATATTAACCGAGAACAACAGGCGGGGTTGAATGTCATCTCTGGGGTTGATAAATCATTGTATCAACTAAAATCAGAAGTCCAGCATTGTTTTATTATATGACGTTTTATCCTTCTCTAATTTTCGAGTTTCTGCTCAAGATATTGCTAAAACTGCTCCCTGTTTTTTCGACTTAAAATATCGTCTAATTTTGCAGTTTGTGATATTCATTCCTTGAAATATTAAGTAAGATTTACTTTAAAGATAAAAACGAAAACGAGAATAAAGGAAAAAAAATACACCAAAAGCAAGAAGAAGAAAAACCCAAGAAGTTACATGACGTTATAAACCTACGTCATTGGCGTTGCCTTGGAATATCTATATTTAGGTACATGGACGCTGCTCTTAATCTTATATTAATCTTGTGTGATTCTTGCCGCGGTGAATATCATTTTTTTTTATCAACTGAAAGAGGCCTTCCTTTGCTTCCGGCCAATGAGAAAACAATATATTTTTAACCATATTAAAATTCAATCATACCCAACTATATCAGTCCTATTCAGGACCGATAACTCTGTCGATAAATATTGTCGGGTATACAATGTTGTTGAAATCAGAGCAATTGTATTTCTATGTCTCTGTTGAAATGTATACAATAACAAATTTTTTTACACAAGTTTAACTTTATATCGATTTATTGAATGCCTGGATTTTGCTTAAAATATTGAATTAAAAAAATAAATAATAAAATCATATTCAATGAAATCTCGTTTAATTTTTTACGAAATAATACAAAATAAAGAAACATAAATATTAGTTTGATTATCTTTTAAAGCAAAAATTATTTTTTTAAAGATTTTTTTTTATAATATTCATATTTTCTTTAAGTTTATTATGATACATATTTCTTCTGGTTTGACACGGGGAAGAGAAGATATTTATTTGTACAGTTATGAAAACTTTTGTATATCACAAAATTAAAACTCTGTTAATACATGTATACACAGGATGTTTAATGTCACCTGGTTGCTTTTGGTTTGCACGTCTACCTGACAATATATTGTTATTTAACATTACATCCAAAGTCAGAGTTCACCTGTTCGTCAAGTGATGGGATTTTGAAGGTATGGAATATTTATCTATAATAATTGTTGGGATTTTTTTCTCTCTTGGGACGTAAATATTTTTTTGTTCTAAAAGGAATGTATAAATATATTTCTAAAGAAAGATAAATTATACAGAAAAACAGGAAAAAAACCTTTTAAAAAAAGAAGAGAAAAAATTTTATTATAAATTTTATTGTTAACTATTTTCTGGTAACAGTATATCCTGGATATCTGTCAAAATAAAATTTTCCCGTGTCACACTTAAAATAATATTTTTTTAATCAATAAATTTTGAAATCAATCATATTGAAATATCACCAAAGAAAATAACAGAAACTTCAGAGATTCTACATGAAAATTAAATTAAATCAAGGAAAGTCTTACTATACAAATCCTCGATTTGATGCAACATTTCCATATACATCATCCGCCATTTTGAAAAATCCCGAAATATTCACTTTTTTAAATCGATTTTTGACCGAAATTGCCCAGAAATTAAACTGTTTTAAATAGTATTTTTCGCCAGATATATGTTTGAATATACTTAATCGAGTTGCAAAGTTTTATTTTTATTAACGGAATTTCTTTATTTGTTATACAAGTAGACATGGGTATCGGTAATTTAGCATTGAGTCAACGGAGAAATAACGAGAAAAAGTACATGTTTTTACGATTCTCCAGTGACAGAATTTAATCAAAAATTAAACTGTTAGGACCAACATTGTTTGATAGAAATATGTTTGAATATCAAGGATTGATTTGCAAAAGTTAGAAAACGGGTCAGGTTCATGAGAAAACTCAACTTTATTGAAGCACCTATGCATTTTATATGGGGCAATATAATACAAAATGGCGGCTAGTATACGTCACAAAAGTCACGTGATGTCTGACTTAGTTGGATATGATCTTTTAAATGTTTTACAAGCAGTTTTAATTCAAATCAAGGTATTAAATGGGTATGTCAGTTTTGTGTTGTTGTAAAACTGTAAAAATTGCACACGGTGAAACTGTTTTACAACTGATCCTTGACTGCGAGTCATTGCGTATCCGTGAATTTTAACAGTCTTGACTATATCAACGGTTTGGAAGTTGAGACAATTATGAATTAACTGTAACTATGTCATGATTGTAGCAAACATATTTTAAATGTAACAGTATTCTCAGCGTTCAAACAGTTTATAAATGAATGTTTCAACGTTTCCACTTTGGGGTAGTTACATATTAGTCTTTGAAATAGTTGCAACAGTCCTATTATAACTGTGCCAACTATTGGCAGAGAGAGTTGTTGCAGTTGATTTCTGTTAGAGACATACACTTTGATAGTTAGAACAGTTACACAATACATGCCACCTTAACATACATCAATTTTTACAACTTTAGCAACTGTTATCAGTCATGAAATGACTGTTAACAGTATGGACAGGTTTTATTATACAGTAGTTTTAGAAAAAACATCTTCCTGTGCATCTTTTGACTCCATCGGTGTTCAGTGGTGTTTGATACAGCTGTTTTAAAAATTTGATAATGTTCGTCAGCTGCTGCGTTCATAACACTGGACAAAATTGAATAACAACATATGGCTTAATGAGGTTTCATGGTTTCTTTTTACAGTTTAGGGCTCCTTTTGTGACAACGTTGACATCTTCTATTGTGGGATATGACTTCCGGAGCACCTGAGATCACCCCCTTTTTTTGGTGGGGTTCGTGTTGCTTAGTCTTTAGTTTTCTATGTTGTGTCATCTGTACTATTATTTGTCTGTTTGTCTTTTTATGTTTGGCCATGGCGTTGTCAGTTTGTTTTCGATCTATGAGTTTGACTGTCCCTCTGGTATCTTTCGTCCCTCCTTAGCCTTTTATATAGAGTCGTTTTGGATATCTTTTGTAATATCGAAATGATTTATAGATGCACAATCGCTACGATTGTAAAGGATGACTCAACTCATGCTTACCGATAATCTAATCTGATCAATACATAATTTTTAGAATGTGATGTCATATATATATTTATATATACCACGCCTTTTATGAATTCACGTTGTTCATGTATTAATTATTTCACGAAAATCGTGTCTTTCAGTGGATAAAATATTGTAACCAGCAAGGAGTGGATATAAATGATTTGTAACATTTATGGGCCATGACACAAGCCGAAGGTTAAACTGAACTGTACTTTTCATATTTTATATACGTCAATCAAACAGTGGTGCTTTCTTTGACAAATTACCTGTCTTGCCAGAATATGCACTATTTTCAGAATATGTACTAAATGATCGGATTTTGCAGTATGTCTCGATTTAATGATAGGTGTACATGTAAACAATATTTTGCCGTTATACTTTCATCAAGGTTCGAAGGACAGATGTGTTATTTTTGATATATTGTTGTGTTTTGTTTCAAGGGATAAGAACAATGTGTGGTTATTAATTTCATTGTTTACTAGGACAAGGGGGCTGAGCTAGACAATGATATAAGATCTTCTAAAATGGAAGTTAGAGCATTTGTCTAAGCACCTCTCATGCTTCGCTTTGTCTTTCTCAAATGGAACACGGCCTTACGAAAGAATGAAAGGAGGTAGATGGGTCAGTTTTTGGCTACAGTGGCATCCTGCTATCATGCATGATAAAAGTCGATATGGAATTTTAAAAAAAAGTTATAAAGGAGAATACGATTTCTGTTTTAATAAACAAAAAAGGCATATTACTTGTAGGTGTATTCCGATTACAAAAGAGAATGTTGTTAATAAATACAAACTAGCATCAATATACATTCGTTAGCTCATCATGTAGCATCTGCCTCATATAAGTATATATATTTTCGTGAAATAAAGAGAACGAGGGTAAATATAGCATTCATAATTAAACACAGTTTAAACCATACATGAAAGAAAGATTGATAACCTTATCACCAAACAAAAAAAAAACTAGAGGCTCCAAGGAGCCTGTGTCGCTCACCTGATAATTTTATTTACAATTGATGCATTAAATAATGCAACCGTTATACTTTTGCTTTAGTTAGTTTCAGAGATATGAATAATTAGAGGCTCTAAAGAGCCTGTGTCGCTCACCTTTGTCTATGTGCATATTAAAATAAGGACACCGATGGATTCATGACAACATTGTGTTTTGGTGATGGTGATGTGTTTGTAAATCTTACTTTACTGAACATTCTTGCTGCTTACAATTAAAAATTTGTAAAACGTTACAAAAATTTACGAAAAATTGTTAAAAATTGACTATAAAGGGCAATAACTCCTTAAGGGGTCAACTGACCATTTTGGTCATGTTGACTTATTTGTAGATTGAACATTATTACTGTTTACGGTTTATCTCTATCTATAATAATATTCAAGATAATAACCAAAAACGGCAAAATTTCCTTACAATTACCACTTCAGGGGTAGCAACCCAACAACGGGTTGTCCGATTCATCTGCAAATTTCAGGGCTGATATATATTGACCTGATAAACAATTTTACGATAGTCAGATTTACTCTAAATGCTTTGGTTTCAGAGCTATAAGCCAAAATCTACATTTTACCCCCATGTTCTATTTTCGCCATGGCGGCCATCTTGGTTGGTTGGCCGGATCACCGGACATATTTTTTTAACTAGATACCCCATAATGATTGTGGCCAAGTTTAGTTAAATTTGGCCCCGTAGTTTCGGAGAAGATTTTTGTAAAGGTAAACGATGACGGACGACGGACGACGACCGACGCAGGACGCCAAGTGATGAGAAAAGCTCACTTGGTCCTTTGGGCCAGGTGAGCTAAAGAACTGCATTTTTACCCTATGTTATATTTTAGCCATGTCTGCCATGTCAGTCACCCTAATGCTGATTGTGGCCAAGGTTGGTTAAATTTGTCTCAGTTGTTTCAGGAGGAGAATTTTTTTAAAGATAACATAAATTTACGAAAAATTGTTAAAAATTGACTATCAGGCAATAACTCCTTAAGGATGTACTTAGGTGATCTAAGGTAAAATTAAATAAATCAAGAATTCAAAATTGATACTTTAAGCTGGAAGAGTATTAGTTAAGGATCAAAAGAAGCTAAAAATACTGATAGGTCATGGAGCTCCTTTTCGAGATATTTGATTTATAAAATATGGCGGGAAAAGGCTGACTCGGACGTTTACCTTTTATTTGCATTGGTATTATTTGGGTCTCAAATCAAAAGAAAAAAAAATCAAGAATCTGCTTAAATTTTGTCAAATGAACTTTTATGAGCTATTAAGTCTTATGTTAAAAGATAAATAGGTGTTATGGGGCAAAATATTTTACCTTGTATCGTATGGAAAAACACCAAGGAGTCCGAACATTTGACACTTATTCCAAAACCTCACCTAAGTACATCCTGAAGGGATCAACTGACTATTTCGGACATGTTGACTTATTTGTAGATCTTACTTTGCTAAACATTACTGCTGTTCACAATTTTTCTCGTATCTATAATTATATTCAAGATAATAACCAAAAAATGCAAAATTACTAATTCAGGGGCAGCAAACAAGCAACAAGTTGTCTGATTCATCTTAAAATTTTAGGAAAAATAGATCTTAACCTGATAACATGTATACCCCATGTCAGATTTGCTCTAAATGCTTTAGTTTCAGAGATATAAGCCAACAACTGCATTTTACCCCTAAGTTCTGTTTTCTGTTTTTAGCCATGTGGGCCATGTTGTTTGGCAGGCGGGGTCACCGGACACATTTTTTAAACTAAATACCCTAATGATGATTGCAGCAATGTTTGGTTAAATTTGGCCCAGTAGTTTCAGTTCAGTAGTTCTAGTTGTTTCATGTCTGTAGTATTTATTTTTTTTTTCGAAAATTCCTTTGTTTTAAACTTAGCAGTTAGTTTTCCTAATTAATGATTCAAATTTTTATATTGGGCCTTTTGTATCTGGCTTAACGGTATGGGTTTTTTTTTCTCATTGACTAAAGTCGTATGGTTGCTTATTATACTATTCTCGTGAGATGAGACATTGATATGTCGTGTTGTTCCGCTGATTGTGATAATAAAACGTCTGTACTGTGGTTCTCAATCGTACTTCCTCATACAACGGTTACAATATATTTTGAGTTACGAGCACACCCTAATAATGAGGTCCGTACGTTAGTGATGTTGCCCGTGCGTGACGTTTCATTTGAGATATCATTCGGAAAAAATTAAATCCTGACGTTTATCATGATAAGCATGTATCCTATTTTAAAGTGGCCAAGTTGTGTCATCAGTTAACCTTTGAGAAATATTTACACCACTGGGTCGATGCCACTGCTGGTGGACGTTTCGTCCTCGAGGGTATCACCAGCCCAGTAGTCAGTATTTCGGTGTTGACATGAATATCAATTATATGGTAGTTTTTATAAATTTCCTGTTTACAAAACTTTGACGTTTTCTAAAAATTAAGGATTTTCTTGTGCCAGGCGTAGATTACCTTAGCTGTATTTGGCACAACTTTTTGGAATTTTGAATCCTCAATGCTCTTCAACTTTGAACTTGATTGGCTTTATAACTATTTTGATCAGAGCGTCACTGATGAGTCTTATGTAGACGAAACACGCGTCTGGCGTATTAAATTATAATTCTGGTACCTTTGATAAATAATTTAAAGTTACCGATATGAATTCGCTTCATATCAATACAATAACAAGACGGGAAGACATTAGTAGGAATACCAACTATATGGTGAATATCAGTTTATAAAACTATACAAATAGTTTTGGTTATATATCTCTGAGTTCAGTGTGATATTCCCAATTCAAGATTTATCTTGAGCCTACACAAGAATTAAGTTTCTGCGATTTCTATTTTCTATTTCCATATAAGTATACACATGTGCTCCTATAATATTATTGTAGCCTTACCCCAACATTTTTCACAACCTTGTGAGTTATTCTGAAAGAACAAAATAATTATCAAAAGTTCATATTATGAAAAGTGAAACGAAGTAAGGCTAGTCGATGCATTATGAAATTTGAAAATGATTTCTTTTAAACCAGCTTTAAATATTACTCGCTCTCTACCTTAGATGTTGTGTTCGTTCTATCTTATTGCGTCACCGGTATAGTGAAGCAGACCATTTTTGAATTTCAGTGCATCAATAGCGTTCATAAGACACAAAACGTATTGTTCTTTGTCACGTGCATTGGCCTCATTGTTAATTAAACAGAAGCGTCGCCCGCATTCATTCACAAAACTGTCTAATTCGGAAATGTGTCCAAGCCATTGCTCTATCGTCTGATCTTCCTTCATTTTATCAGCATGGGTAAAAACGATAATAAGGAACTGTTTCAGTTTTTCTCCAAAATAATTTAAAAATGTACTAATTGAATCAAGATCGTCTTGTCTGATACGCCCATACTCAATTATAAATAAAACGACATGTGGGCCAGGAGCTGCCAATTGAATACACCTTTTAATTTCTAATTCAGTTTCTTGTTTCTTTTCATTTATTCCACATATGCCTGGTGTATCAATTAGGAAAACTGATTTTTGAAGAACTGTTCCTGTCGCCTTCATACATTTCTCCGTCACTAGTGTAGGAACGTCACTTGTACGAAAACAGCTGCGTCCAAGTAAAGTGTTCGCTGTTGAACTCTTTCCTACCCCAATTTTTCCAACTAAAACAATGCGAGTCTGTTCGTCTGTAATATACACATTCAAATAAAAATATACATATTGAAATAGTCTGGAACTACAATAGTTCTCATTAGTTAACTACGCATTATTCACACTATCACATGTATCAATAACAAAACAAAGACATTCCTGCAAATTGATTTTTTTGCAAAAGCAAAGACACGTATAAAATAAACGTAAAATATGTTCACAACGTAGTGAAGAGTTTATATAAAAAAAAGAAGATGTGGTATGATTGCCAATGAGACAACTCTCCACAAGAGACCAAAATGTTTTTATATCATACATTTTAAAACATGTGTTAAAAATTAGACTGATCAAGCAAATGTATTTTCAAACATATGATTTAGATATATTTTACAATGATAACCACAAGAAACGAAGCAAAAGTAATCAAACATACATACACAAGTAAGGCATTTATTTCTAAAGTTAAAGAACGAAAGATTTTATGTCTTAAAGATGAAAATGAAATGGATAAAAAAAATATTCTGTATACATGTATATACGCTTTGTTCATTTAAAATATTTTTGTACAATAATTAACAGGTTCAGTAAACTGCTGGTGGTTGTTTCATTCCCGAGGGTATCACTAGCTTTTTGTGTTTTCTGGAAATACCATTGATATGCTTCTTTTTCTGTAAATTAACTAACTATTCATCAAAATGTTGAGTGATTCTGAACACTATGGCTATTCTACCATCAATTGAAGCTATACATTTGCAATCCGTATTTGACAAAGCTGTTCGGTTTAAAATGCTTGTCAAATTGATATAAGATTTGACGTTCATAATTTTTTTGTATATTCAAAAATACGCCAAGTACGTATTGGAGTCTCGCTTCGCGGTGCTTCTGTACTTTGATTTAAGAAACTATAATTGTAAAGATTTATCACATGCTGATGTAACTATTAATGGTACAGCTATCACATCATGATCACAAGACCAGACGAACACATCAGAAAGTCAAACAGTAAATTTTTCAGCATTATAAAACATGTGTCAAAAATATACACCATATCTCTGAGAGACTAGGCTAGTGAAATTACCCATAACAGTTCATTTCAAATAAACTCACCGAACATACAGATACATTGTATACTATTAGAAAACATAGCAACTGTACTATCTTATTGACCAGTCGTCAAATTTACGTCAAATTTAGTTCAAAGGCCAACTAGCATTCCATATATTTTGTATAATACAACAATGTATAAACACAAAAACATTTGTTTCAAAATAGCGATAAATAGTTACGCATCAAGCGCATCTCCATATTAATGATTTTTTCTTTATAAAAAGTGCCTTTTTCAAAAAATGTCAGTGCAAATGATAAAAAATGAGCGAAATCATATATGTTTGTTCAACTGTTAAACACCAAAAACAAATATAGAACGCTTTTAAATATGTCTTATAAATTCAAACCAAAACAGCAGTAGAACTATGTCTGGGTCAATCAAGTTATTCCAAATGCAAGTCAATTTTCAATTTCGCCAAAGTATTTGGAGAAAGGGCATGCTGTTATGTCTAGGTTTATTCAAGTGTTAAGTAATCAAGACTTCGATAAAAAAAAATTGCATAAATGACCATTTGTCACGAATGTTTGAGTGTTTGCCTATTATCTTGAAAGCTATACAAGACAGGACAGCAAAAATACAAAAAAACCTACAAAAATGTAAAATGTCTGAAACTATTGCGAGGCTTGTTATAATAGCGTTTGTCCTATAATAACAATCTGTGACAAATTTTCAAAGTCATGAGGTATGTGATGGAGAGTTATCTTATTAGCTGTCATACCATCCTTCTTACTTTCATATATAATAGATAGGAAAAACTGTAACCAGCAAATATGACGAGCAATACAAGACCTATAGAAATATGAAAGCCCTAAAACATTGGATGCCTGCTTACAATAGTTATTGTCCTTAAATAACGATTTTGACTCATTTACAACTGTTTGCCTATAATCTTTCAAACATAGGTAGAAAATGTGAACAGCAAAAATGATCGGCAAAAATGCTTGTATGACCGCTACTATCCGACGAATTTATTGACCATACAAGACGATCTTTTTGTAACTAGATTATTTGCTTCTAATCTTGAGAAGAATAATATTATTAGGTAGAAACTGATAACAGCAAACATTATACAAATAGGAATATATGTTCTATAAATACCACTTATTGTTTCGAATAATGCCATGTTACCTCTTGTTCAAGAAGTTCAACTGTCTATAAATATCGTGTATATTTTAATGTGTGAAGGAGTTTTCGTAAAGCATTTGCAGAACAAGCAATACTTACATAGACTTACACAATTTGTTTATCCTATGAAGTGACGGGAGATCAAGTTCATCATAGTTCCTTGAAAATCCCAAAATACACAATGGTATTTCCTGAAGCATTATCAATAGAATGTCTTATATGAAATAATTGTCAACTAACCTAGAAACTGTCTTGCGTTTGTCCTAACGTTGTCAGGTTTAGCATCCAATTCAACTTGTTTCTTCGAGGTAAATTTATCGCCTGTTGCTAAATACCATGGTAAAATATAGGAACAATAGTGATCACATTTATATAAAGTTTTTTATTAGAATGTTATGGTAAGATATTAGAAACCAACAAAAAAAACCAACAAATGAAGTCGGGTAACATTCAAGATAAATTAGAGTATATGATCAATCTACGCAACATTAAATCTAATAAAATGAAACTCTACTGTAAAACATGTCAAAACAAGATTAGCTAAATTGTTTTGAGTGTACATAAGACATGATCCACAGGAGTCATGCTTATCTTTGTTGTACGGCAGAAAAGACTAAAATCAAAAAATCAAAAACAATTTACAGAATGTCCTTCGATCGTGTACAATATTTGTGAATGCGATTTTTTGTAATATGAACATTTAATTATATTTATAGTATATGCAATATAAACGTTTGTCAAAGTGTTTGATATAATTTGAGATTTGAAAGCCAACTTGAAACTCGACAAGCTACACGACAAACGAAAGGAATAAGAACCTTATTTTCTACAGTATCATTATCCTACTGTGATGTATGATATATAACCACAAACAAATTGATGTGAAGTTTAATTTACGTAACTGTAATGATGATCAAGACGAAAGTAGGATGTTGATAGACAAATATATTACCTCCACGATTAAAAAAGCTGTGGGTGTCTTTTTGCAAGGTTAAATAAGGATATGACTTCTCTGTTTTCTGTGGCAAATCATGTTTATTCGTGCTTCCTTTTAAATGTAAAAACACACACAAAATAACACTAGTCTACCAGTAATTTACATTGCGTTTACAAGTTCTTTCAATTCCGCTGAATAAACAATGCTGATAATAAATTAAACCATCCATTACAATTCTAAGGACAGACACTTAAAAAATGTACAATGAAAGATATTCTCATACTACTGATGTCCGAATAAGAACGGTTAATTATATCTATATATATATATAACATGTGTAAACTCCTTATGTGACTATTGATACCTTAGATAAAAAAAAAGGTCTGAGGTGAAATGTCTAATTTTGTTTGACAGAAAAGTGCACACAACAATTAATGTACAGTTGTACATTTGAAATATACCCGCCACCAGAACGGTCGAAAATTAAACAGGATTAAAGCAACACAGTACTTGTTTTCACAGAAAATACTTGTTTAAATCCAGAACTAGTTTATGATATATGTGATGGTATAATAGAAAACAATCAATTATTTACTTAAAAACGATTGAAATGTACAATACTAGATTAATAACAGTCATAACAGAAGTCGAACATTTTCAGTACTTACAATAACAATTCATCATAAGTAAAATATTAAAAAAAAAAAAAGCATAGCATTTCAGATATATGTCGTACAACTAAATGTTTCAGTACTGAAAACAGCTTGTTCTCAACATAACTGAAGACATGCATAATTATGACTAAGTGCACTGAGAAGATATTGATAGCAAATGTACTGAATGATGATATGTCTTACCAGTACTGTGTATGTGAAAGTTTCGTAAATTCCTTATAGTGCGATAATGTACGAGAATATAATAAAGATATACAATCCACATCAATCAACAAGAGTTTACATGCTGAAATGTCTCGCATGCTTTACTGACAATTGATTCTATGTTGAAAGTCATAAATAAAAGTTTTTACTTTAACATGTTCCATGAAAATGAGGTCAAGGTCAGAAAAACGAAGCCAAAACTACATGAATTACTAAAAATCATCCCATGCGCCTTTTATAATAGACATATTGCTTATAGTATAGAAGATAAAGGAACAAGAGTGGACACACTGAAATGTCTCGCCTGTTTTAGTGTTCATAATTGAATTTATGTTGAAAGTAAAAAAAATAAGTTTATATAAGCTTTACATTAAATTAACATTTTAATGATGAATGAACATGAAGTCAAGGTGAGATAAACCCTATCAGACAAACATGTAGGCCGTACAATCATTCCATACACCAAATTTATTTAACATATATTGCCTAAAGTATCTTAGAAACAAACCTCATTGAGGAAACTGAACTGACCAATGAACCATAAAATGAGGTCAAGGTAAGATGACACCTGTCAGACAGACATATACACATAACATTCATTCCATACAGAAAATTTTATGAACTTATCACTTATCTGCCAGTTGGAAATGTGAACCTTACGATCATTCTATACAGTTCTTGACATTCTTAACGAAATATAATAGACCTTTAGTGAGCAAGCTCACATTACCATGGCCCCCATATAAATCATGATTTAAGACAGTAATATGGTCTTCTGCAAATCTATTGTTAGTAAATAGGACCTCGAACTAAGACATAGCGACTTGAAAAACAATAGCCAGGGATCTTCCTCTTCTTTCTGTTAATTTATGTAGCCACATATCCAAGTTAAGTTGCAATCCCATTGAATACATCCTGAAACCTATGTTCAAATTTTAGTCTTTTTTAGTTAACTTGACCTTAGGCTTAAATATAGGTCTGTAATGCTTTTACATTCATGTTGAGTAACATGTTTTTAGAAAAAACAGCATCATAAAATCATATGGGATACACTTTTGGCTAATAAATCACAGGCAAATATAGCAACAACATTTGAGTAAATAAAATCGCATTATACAAATTTTTTTTTGAAACATTAAGTCAAATGACTACTAAAAGCAAACTTTGAAATCTAGATTTAAGGTTCATCAGAAGGGATTGACAAATATGGCCATTTTTTTTTTATTTCCTCTTGAGTACAGACAAACCTGTGCACAAGGAAAAGTTTGAAGGCATTGCAGAAACTGGATAAATATTTGTCAATTCCTTGAGATGAACCTGAAAGACCCCCCCCCCAAAAAAAAAAAAAAAAAAAACTAAAATTATCTTCAATCTTTGATCAAAATATTGTAAAAATTCATATTTTCATATTATCTATTTATCTATTTATGTTGCTATGCTAAACTATTTTTTACTTATCTCAATACTTATCTTATTTCATATGTATCAAAAATCAGTAAATGTGATTCTGTTGTGCAAACAAAATTTCAAAAGTTCTTCAATCTGTACATTTTCAGCCAATTAATCTTTATGAAGGGACTGGAGTGAACTGTATTCTATGTTAAACATTCATGCATGAGTGACCTTATTTTAACATTTTCACACCTTCCAATGTTTTTGTTAATCACGGTTTAGTAATGATCCCTTAAAAGTTTTTATTATTTATTATCATTATTAATGTTATTTAAAGATTTTTATAAAATAATCTACTTAACATTGACCAATGAACCATGAAAATAAGCTCAAGGTCAGATGAAACCTGTCAGACAGACGTGCACACCTTACAATCATTCCATACACCACATACAGTTGACCTATAACTTATAGTATCTGAGAAGAGGACCAAACAAGAGTAACTTAACATTGACCAATGAACCATGAAAATGAGGTCAAGGACAGACATGTACACCTTACAATCATTCCATACACCAAATATAGTTGACCTATTGCTTATAGTATTAGAAAAACAGACCAAAACACAAAAACTTAACATTGACCAATGAACCGTGAAAATGAGGTCAAGGTCAGATGAAACCTGCCAGACTGACATGTATCCCTTATAATCATTCCATACACAACATATAGCTGACCTACTGCTTGTAGTATCTGAGAAACGGACCTAATCACGTAACTTTAACCTTGATCACTGATCCATGAAATGAGGCTGAGGTCAGGTGAACCCTGTCTGATGGACATGTAGACGTTGCAAGGAACCCATATACCAAATATAGTTATCCTATTACTCATAATAAGTGAGAAATTTACATAACAAAAAAACTAAACTTTTTTTCAAGCAGTCGCTGAACCATGAAAATAAGGTCAAGGACATTGGACATATGACAGACGGAAAGTTTATAACATAAGGTATCTGCAAACAAAGTATGAAGCATCCAGGTCTTCTACCTTCTGAAATATAAAGCTTTATACAAATAGTTTACGCCGCCGTCGCCGCCGCCGCCGCCGCCGGATAGTAATACCTATGTATCACTTTCTGCGACTTTCGTCGCAGGCGAGACAAAAACCATGAAAACTTAATGTTTACAAATAAACAATGTTAGATTTTCTCTTAATGCTTTATTTTTTGAGATATAAGACCAAAACTGTTTTTTACCCCTGTCTTTTATTTGGCGGCCATGTTCTTTGACGAACCAAAAAAATCAAACACAAACTATATTCTAGATACCCTAAGGATCATTCAGCTCAAGTTTATTAGGAATTGAATCCGTAGTTTCTGAGGAGAAGATGTTTGAAAACATTTCCAATGGACGGACGACAAAGACGGCGACGGACTCCATGTGATGGCAAAGGCTCTCATTTTCTTTGGAAAATGAGCTAAAAACATAGTATCAGACGTATTAGAATAACTACTTTGAGACTTATTTTAACTCGGTGAACATTTTTAAAGAAGTGCACACGGACATATTCAAAGGGCAAAACATCCGGACGAATGAAGATGAACAATAAAAAAATAACTTTCCATTCTTGAACAAATATTGGAGAGTTTAAACAAAAGATTTACGTCACGGGCGCATTTTAACAACAGTTCCTATGTAAACCTACAATAACGATATGTGTTTAGAGCTTTGTAGAGAAAGCTTCGCTTTTGAATTATCTTGCAGATCAATTGCTGGTAATCAATATCAAAAATAAATTTGAATTTCATTACACAAAGAGAAAGGCAACAAGATAGGAACCCTACTCGTCTCTTCCTCAGCTTGACACTAGGTATCTACTACACTAAATACATTGATAAGTTGTTATCGGTTTTAGTTTGCTGTCAGTAATGCGAGTACAGTCGTTTTGGTTTTGTGGTGTATTCATGTACCAAGTCACGTCTACTTTGTGTTTTTGGTTAGACGTATTTCTATTTGTATCCAATGATTAGTTAAGCCATTTCCCACTGATTTTTTTAGTTTGTTCTTATGTTACACCACTATCCCAGTTAGGGGAGCGCTCACAAAAATGTTCTTTATATGCCTGTACATGGTCAGTAGACTGTATTTCATTGGTTGTCGTTTGTCATAAGTGTTTTTCGTGAACTGTTTTGTTATGAATAAGGCCGTTTGTTTTCCCAATTGAATTGTCATGTCGGGGTCCTTCATACCAAACAGGTATAGTTTATTTCTCATTGTTGAAGTCCTTACTGTTGCCTAATAATGGTAACATCCACTTCATTACATTTTTTGCGGACATTTCTTCTATTTGCAATCATACAACATCTCCTTATTTGTAAACTGTTTCCAAGTGTACCAATATATCACAATGCAAATTTTGTTTATACATCAATTCGTTAATTTTCTGTGTTAATGACATTATGATTATAAATGGCGTAAGTGAAGTACTGTTATCCTAATTCAATTTCCTCACGTACCCGTAGTTTTTGCAACATAGAACCATGAGCATATAATCTTATATTTGTTTGAGTTCAAAACAGCACACATATTCAATCAATTTGTATATGCTACCAAGCCATGATTTTAAGTGCGAAATTATCGGTATGTATAAAAGTTACTTATACTAAAGAAGATGAAAAACACACCTGTTTCTTTTGCCGACTCGCTGTAACGTAGCTCAATTGAACCTTCTTCATGAACTGTTTTTTCGTCTGCAAAATATTACATACTAAATACACAATTCATTCGATCAGTTAAATGCGGATCTTTTATGAGACCCTTGCATCATAGGTAGCAAATCTCGAGTGTAAAGCAGGTTGTTAAGCTGGATAAAATTAATGAATGCTACTTCATTCTATTTACCATCATAATGAAAATAAATAATGAATGTCTCATTATGCTGTTTCGATGTCTCCCAAACGGAGTAAATATATTCGGGAATAAAAGTGTAGGGGTTTGCATTAAAATAGTTTTCAAGCTATTACAACATTCTTATTTATATATCGCAGGGAGAGGGATGATTATTTGGGACTCATCATACATCGTTCAGTTAGAATGAAAACATCGTACAGGAAAGTAAATTGTTTACGCTGGGAGGTATCAATCATTTTCAAGATATTTACACATTTTATCATGGTAGTGATGGGGATTAGTCCTAGGGATTACCTTATATATCATTCAATCAGTTACGGAAAAATATGGTTCAGTAGTTGAGATCTAAAATTATTTGAAAATATTTTAAAATTCTCAAATGGCAAGAGAATAAATGACCTCGATCCATCCTGTAACTCATCCTACATGTATTTTATATTTGATTTGTCTTGTTAATAAAACATTGTTCATTGCTTAGATTCTCCATTGTTTACTATGTTTCTTATTTATGTAATTTGAAAAATATCGCCAACAGTCAAGATCATAGGTGACCATTATACTTTTGACCTGTAGACGAATAATTTCGTCTCATGATCATTACTGCAGGAAGACCAATTGGGTCTATCACTTCTTGTTCTTAACTATTTAAACATTAATACAAAAACAATTCTATACGGTTCTATACTTAACGATATCCTTCTACTTATCTCTCAAAGTATTTCTTAATCATGTTAATAGACGGCCTTGCAGAAACAAAATCGTAAATGAATCACAATGCAGATCTATACATTTAATTCTAACATATTATTGAAAGCGGTTTCTGACAAGTGCTGCTGACAAGTTCATGTTAAAGAAATTGTCGATAGAATAATAACATTAATATATATACTGAAGATTCACTAGTTATCGTAGGTACGAATTTATAAGGATTAAGGAAAAATGAATCGTGGTTTTGCAAACGACTGCATACAAGTCTACAGAAAACTTGCATTCGTTGAACAATTAGTTTATGTGGTTCACCTGTATCAACGAAAGCAAGGAATAATGGTTTCCAACGAATAAAAAGCAAAAAGCAAAAAGCGCTAGGGAGCCCTAACTAGTACTGTATTCAAACAATTGTGCTCGCTCTTTCGAACAAGATTTTAAAGATAATTTCCAAAGCACAAAAATTGGTAAAAATTGTCATGTAATGGCAACATCTATAAAGAGTCGATAAGGAGAGAATACAAGCATTTTTTTAAAGGGAGTTTCCAACCCATGATAAAGGGGAGGTTCCAACCAAATGCATTGATCAACAAAAAAGGGTGGTTCCAACCCCTGGAACCTTCCCCCACCCCTGGATCATTGACTGGTCAATTGTGGATGACCACTATATTTCACATATCAATACCTCATATTTTTTTATATCGGTTGCTGCTGATAGTTTCTTTAAATAACAGTTTTCAGGATAATGACCAAACTAAAGTTAGTTTTATTACTCAATCAAAAGGATATAATATCTATATAGAAGTTTAGCATATTTCGTGTATAAACAAACGCATGTACTTTATTACTTTATGTTACAGAAATTTAGGTAAAACAGTTCTTCTTTTAAGTTATTCACCTGTTAACTCATTTTATACTTGTTTTGGAAGTCCTATATGTATATAAGCTTTCACAGTTCAAATATTAAATCAATTTTATATTGTTGTGCTGTTATGCGTACAAATGTCAGTAGCTATAATGCTTTCGTGTGCCAAAGGAGATAGAAAAAAAAACACACCTGTTTCATATTCCATCTCGACTGAACTTATGTCATTAGTACTTTCTCCTGAGTCAAATGTTTTCCCTGTAAAATATTAAACGTGAAGAGGGTCAATAAAATAGAGGGATTTCATCAGATCATAGTGTCACTATGCACTTGAAACTGTAAAACAAAAACGAAGCTTACATCTGCTTGGAATACAATTAAGAACCTAATTCCTTGGTCAATAATATGTGTATATTAGTAGGAATGAGAAAAAGAGTGAATCCTACTTCATTGTCTGATTATCATGCTCTTAAAAACTAGTACTGTATGTATATTTCAATCCTTACATGCTATATTAGGTTTGATGATAGTTGAAGAAACATTGTTATGTATAACACTATTTGTGTTAACTGTAAAAAGGAATTAATTGAAAACTCACGGGTGTTCGTAAAATGTAAGGAAATGTGGCATGACCCACCGTGAGACAACTAAATACCAAAGCACAAAGACAGAAGAGTTTACCACTAATGATCAGCATATAGCCTTCAATAATCAATTATAATAAAACACATACCCGTACATTGTCAGCTATAATCTACCGAAAAAGGCTTATAGCGGATTTGGACGTATATGAATGAGACAACGGGAGCACCTGATATCACCCACGGTTTTTGATGGAGTTCGTGTTGCTCAGTCCTTAGTTTTCTATGCTGCGTTTTGTATACTGTTGTTTGTCTTTCTTTCTTACCATGGCGTTGTCAATTCAATTCCGATTTTGAATGTCTCTTTAGTATCGTTTGTCTCTCCTTTCCTATAACAGGCCCCGAAATAAAAGAAAATAATAATAAGAAGAAACCAACGGCTTTATTTCAGAATAAGCAGCTGCGCCATGAGCGCATGATACGCCCGTCGTCTTGTGTTTGAATTTTTATGCAATAAGCATAAATAGTTTCTGACATACGGCGTGACATGCGAAAACCCCCTTTTTTTTTAACAAAAACTCAATATCTCTAAAATATAATTTTGAATCAAAATTAAAAAGTATACAGATCTTGAGATTAATATAACTAAGAAGTGTGTACAATTTTAAGCAATAATCATAAATCGTTTTTGAAATACGGCGCGACATATGAAAACCCCTCTTTTAAAAAAAAAAAAATCAATATCTCAAAAATAAAATTTTGAATCAAAACCAAAAAGTATACAGATCTTTAGATTAACATAACTAAGAAGTGTGTAAAATTTTAAGCAATAATCATAAATCGTTTTTGAGATACGGCACGACATGTGAAAAACCCCTCCCCCTTTTTTTACAAAATACTCAATAACTCAAAAATAAAATTTTGAATCATCACCAAAAAGTATACAGATCTTAAGGTTAATATAACTAAGAAGTGTGTAAAGTTTTAAGCAATAATCATAAACTGTTTTTAAGATACGGCGCGACATGTGAAAAACCCCTCCCCCTTTTTTAACAAAATACTCAATATCTCTAAAATAAAATTTTGAATCATCACCAAAAAGTAAACAGATCTTAAGATTAATATAACTAAGAAGTGTGTAAAGTTTTAAGCAATAATCATAAATTGTTTTTGAGATTACGGCGCGACATGTGAAAAAAAAAACACACACCTGTTTTAGTTACTAAGTCCCGTAACTCAAAAAGTTTTAATCTTATTTTCACCAAAAAGTATACAGATCGTTTGACCATCATAAGAAACAACTATTTAAGTTTCATGAAATTTGGATACGTCATTCTCAAGTTACGGTGCGACATGTTTACGCCGGACAGACAGACGGACAGACAGACAGACGGACAGACAGACGGACAGACAGACAGACGGACGGACGCCGGACATTTGTATAACATAATACGTCCCGTCAAAAATTTTACGGGCGTATAAAAACTCAATAAACGTCAAACAATTGTTGCATATGGCAATCAACAACAACCACTGGACTACATCATTTACATGCTCCTGGCTTAAGATGAGCATATAAATAATAAATGTAGAGCGGCTAAAAGATTTTATGTTACCAAAATCTTCTCCATAACTGACACAATGGTTTTAGAGTACATTTGGACAAACTGTAAAGAAGACACTCAAAAAGAGTTTCAATCGACATATCGGTACTATGCACAAACACAGTGGGTAAAAAATTCAGAGTCACGTATGGGCCTATTTAAGAGTATTTGTAGTTATCAAAGGGAGTCCAAAAGGGTTATGTCAACAAATAAATGTTTTCAAGAAAAAAATGTCAATCAATAAACTTTAAAAAAAGATTAATTTTAACATGTTTAAGGACGTCATACGCAGTTCCAGAAAAAAGCATCCTATCCTATAGGTAAAAAGCTGTAGGAATTCAAAGAGAGTTATATAATATATTGCTGTTACTGTAAATTCAGAAATTATTGCGATGTTTTTATTATTGCGAAAATTGCGACAGGGTTATAATCGCAATAATTTAAACTCGCATTTTGAAATTTTTTATATGAATTAAACAGGATTTTTCTCAATATCGCAAAAATTAAAATCGCATTTTAGTCTAAAATGACAAAATCGCAATAATAAATGCACGCATTAATTTCTGAATTTACAGTAATTTATTTTTGCATCTTAATGTGGTATTCGTTCATTGTAGGCATACGTGTAGCACAGACTCGTTGTATAGATATATACCAGTCAGTCTACTTCTTCTTCTTTTACAGGCTGAAGACAGTTAAATACAAATATGTAGACATTTACAACTGGTCCATTCCTTAAAAGGATAAGTCATATTTAAGTGTATTTCGCTTTTTTATGAGAGAAGCAAAAGATACCAAGAGGACTTTCAAACTAAAAAAAACTGACAGCGCCATTGAAAAAAGGGAAAACGACCAAAGTGAACATGTGCTAATTTTCAGCGTATATGTATAAAAAAATTTGTGGTAGGATTGCCAATGAGAAACTCTCCAGAAGAGACCAAATTACAGCCCAGTAGTCAGCACTTCTGTGTTGACATGAATTATCATTGATATTTTCATAATTATAAATTAACTGTTAACAAAACTTTGAATTTTTGTAATACTAACAAGACTAAGGCTTTTCTACCCCATGCAAAAATTAACAATTAGCTGTATTTGGCAAAACTTTTAAAAGAGGGGCAAAAGATACCAGAGGGACAGTCATACTCAAAGATCGAAAATAAACTGACAACGCCATGGCTAAAAATGAAAAAGACAGACAAATAGTAGCACACATGACCCAACATAGAAAACTAAAGACTAAGCAACACGGACCCCACCAAAAACTGGGGTTGATCTCAGGTGCTCCGGAAGGGTAAGCAGATAACTGTGTTCGATTCGAGCGTCAAAAGGCCCCGTAATGAAGATTGTTTCGGTACATACATATAATTTATTTATGTTCTTAGGAAAATTACTAAAAAAAAACAGACCTTTTTCATTTGCATATTGACAAGACCATTATTAAAATACAGTATTAAGTTTAGACAAGAGGCTGTCAGAGAGATAGCAAACCAAATTTTCCTGCAGAGGTCGAACCCTTAACTGTTAAGAAAGTGTGGACACAACATTTAAGCTGAACACAGCTCTTTATTTGGATTGTGATTGAATATTTGATACAGCATGGGTTTGTGACACAAAATAAAAGTGGTCAAAGAACTGAAAAATTTGAAATTGGACATTAACCTATTCAATATGGTCCAATATCCAAAATCTAAATAGATTGCTAGAATCAGCATATCAAAGAACCCCGATAATTCAATTTTTGATGAAAACTTCTTTGTTAAACCTTTTCTGTTCAAAGTAGAATAATGTCAATCTAAAATTAGATATCAGTTAACCCTAGACACTTTTAGTAGATATGATGTAATTCTATATGATGTTATATTTATTTTTAAATTATAATCAAATATAATTAATAGCTTTATCTTGATAAAAGTTGAAAATCATTTTAAAACACTTAGTGTTATCAAACTTTATATATATATAGTTGATAGTTCCCAATATTTTACTTTCATTTGTAGCAAACTAAAATAGATATGCAACTTGTCTTAACTTTAATTTTTTAACTTATAAAAATAGATTATTATCTAATGAATTTGCAAATCTTGTACCCCAAACAGGATACAGTAAAAATTAAAATTAACATACACATCATCAAAATTATATACATAGCACTCAGAAATTTAATTTATACAGAATAACAAACATGACAAACACACCTACCACAACATTCTTCAAACAATTTATCAAAGAACAAAAAAAAATTATCTATTATTATCTTCAAAATGTCTAATAATGATCAATAAATTTCTAACTATATTTACACAACTCCTATACAGCTTTTAATCATCAACACTTAGAAAACAGAAAATTTTCAAATAAATCTGTCACTCTAATTATAATTGTCAGATAAGATATCAACCATATGGCTTAGTGTAATCAAACTTTATGTATATAACTAACCATTTCTTAACAAAGAGAAATAACTCAATCACATTATAAATACCACTTTTGGATATTAAAAAGGGTGATAACTCAACAACGAGAAGAGTTGAAATCGTGAAATTTGAACTAGACCTTCATATAGTCGCAGGACACAACATATCTTAATTTGAAAAAAAATCGTCAAAGTATTTTCATGTTATTGAAGAGACACTGTTTGGCAGCCACCCGACCGCCCTACCCGCCCGCCTGCCGTACATCGCCAAATCAACTACCGATGTTTACTTCGAAAATCCGATTAAAAAATAGAAATATATACATGTATAAACATGTGCAGTCCCTTCCTGTGTTGAATAAATGTAAATGTATTATTTATTTATTAAAATTAGAAATTAAATACCTTTTGAAGCAGTAAGAACGGCCTACAGTTAATAAAGTTATATCGATACACATTTTTTAAATCACATTTTTACTGCAAGGTCTATGCTTTTTAACGTAGTAAATGTCTGTATATTTCATTTTTTCATGTGCTAAAACCATCAAATAACAAACCCGTTTCACTTTTCATTCCGATGTAACTTAATCTATTTGAACCTTCTTCGTGGTGTATTCGGTCACCTGCAAAATATTAAACACTAACATTAATGTGACTTGAAACACAGAAATAGGAAAACGAGAATGAATCCGACCACAGTATCCCTATACAATCAAACCTGTAAAACGGCGAAGCTTCTTTGATAACACTTTTGAATAAACAGCAAATATTCAAAGTCAACATATTCGCATGTTGTTAACTAGTTAATGCTACTACATGTTCATATTACTATGATAATACCCCTTTGCAATTAACAGAAGCAATCGCTTTCTCTTATTTCAATAAGTTTTTTTTTCAAATATAAACAGAAACACAAAAAAAAAAATATAAACTCTTAAAATAAATGAAGGGACAATTTTGGTTATTTGACATTTGTATTGAACTTGATGACCTTTATGCTTTTTCAGTGTCTTCCTATCTTAAATACTTAGACATAGTATGGACAAACAATGTCATTGCAAGGTGATAATACCCAGAAAGAGTCGATTTCCTTAATGTATTATGTATACATCAAATTCTATAACTTGATAGTGACATTTTGTATCTCTGAGTGTTTTCGAGAAAAATATTTTATCAAAAACAAAATTGGTAAACATTGAGGGACAATGACTCCTATATAGGGTCTCATGACTATGTTTGTTAGCTTGACGTGTTTGAAGATCTGATTATATATTCGTATGGGTCTTCACAATTTCTTTCTATCTTTTACAAGATAATTGTAGAAAACTGCTGTAAACAGTGTCACTTTATCTGTCATGGATTTCAAATTGAACAGTTGTAAAAATAAACACGTTAATATAAAAAAGAAGATGTGGTATGATTGCCAATGAGACAACTCTCCACAAGAGACCAAATGACACAGAAACAAGAAATGATTGTAACAGGATGCTGTTACGAAGTCTCCCAAACGAAGCTCACATAATTCGTAATTCCCAGTGTCGCCAAATTGGTTTGGTCCAGTTAAGTTATATGCATTAGTGATGCCTGGGGTCTAACCCTGTATATCATTCAAATCATCTTGGCATGACAAACCAGAATATATATGGTTTAGGGGTGGGGATCTCGACCATTTACAAGATACTAGAACATTGGGGGTGGGGGGAACCCCTGGGGACTGACCCTATACATCATTCAAATGTTCGAGACACGACGAACAGGAATATATATGGTTTAGGGGTGGGGATCTCGACCATTTACAAGATATTAGAACATTGGGGGTGGGGGGAACCCCTGGGGACTGACCGTATACGTCATTCAAATGTTCGAGACATGATGAACAGGAATATATATGGTTTAGGGGTGGGGATCTCGACCATTTACAAGATATTAGAACTTTCTCAAATGGCAGGGGGTCGGGATGACCCCTGGGGACTAACCCTGTATATCATTCAAACCATCTTGGTATGACAAACCAGAATATATATGGTTTAGGGGTGGGGATCTTGACCACTTACAAGGTATTAGAACTTTCTTAAATGGCAGGGGGTGGGGTGACCCCTGGGGACTAACCCTGTATTTCATTTAAAGGGTTTTATCATTTAGAACATTTTCAATTAAAAAGATTGTGTCTATCACAAACGGTTTTCAATATATAATCATTTGAAAATTTTAAAAAATAAAATCCCGTAGGGTTCTATAGTAAAACCCTCTTTTCTCTTTGCCCCTCAAAGTGCCCCTTTATAAACCCCATTGCACAAACAAAACCCTGATTGCACCACTAGACATGTTATTCTAATATATTGTGAAACCCTAAGTTAATCTGACAAGCGGTTTTGGAGAACGGGTGCGGACAAGTTCAAATTTAAAAGCGGCGGAAGAGGAAGAGGAATAATAATAATAATAATAATAATAATAATAATAATAATAATAATAATAAGAACTGAGCAAAAACAATAAGTCTTCCCAAACTACGTTTGGGAGACTTAATAATAAGAACTGAACAAAACCAATAAGTCTTCCCAAACTTCGTTTGGGAGACATAATTAACAACTATAGGCCACCCAACGGCCTTCAACAATGGACAAAGCCCATACCGCATAGTCAGCTATAAAAGTTTCCGAAATGACAAGGTAAAACAATTCAAACGAGAAAACTAACGGCCTAATTTATGTACAAAAAACGAACGAAAAACAAATATGTAACACATAAACAAACGACAACCACTGAATTAGAGGCTCCTGCCCTTGGACAGGCACATACATACAGAATGTGGCGGGGTTAAACATGTTAGTAGACTTGTTTAACATCGTCATGTTAAACAATGACACTTGTTGTATTTTGTTTTAGTTTGTTTGTTTGTAAGTGTTTATTCCCTTTCAGTGCCCTTAGGAAGATTACCCCGGCAAGTCTATATTGATTGAGGAAACCGAAATACATGTTTCCTGAGAGATTCACCGGCCTGTGGCAGGAAATTGAAAATCCTTGTCCATGAAGATAGAAGTCATACCCACCTAACCCCGATCAGGGTTTGAACTTACAACATGAGCGTTGACAGGCTAGTGATCACAGTAGACAAACGTTGTAGACTGCTTACTTACCGATGCCCCGACTGACTCCTGTCGGAAGTTATCTTATAATATAGGGAGAAATGACAAGTGGATGTGAGAATCTGAGCACTAATTTTTCTATCAGATATTGCCTATATATAAGAGTTTTTAGTACTCACTTAAACGGAACTTATTTTTTGCACCAGATGCGCATTTCGACAATAAACAAATATAATTTCAGTGATGCTCGAAACCAAAATATTTCAGAATCCAAAACATATTTAAATGATGAAGAGCTCATGACAAAAAATGGACAACAAGTTTCGCCAACGCCTGGCATAAAATCAGAGCTATGAAGGAGGGAGATATAATCCCTATACTATTTTCCTTGCTTTTGTACAGCAAATTTTTATAATCCAATATCGGTATTTACATGCCAGTACCAAAATACAGGCTACTGGGATGGTGATATCCTAGGTATCATAGAAAAAAGCTTGCATTTTATGTTCGGTGCTAGACTATAGAAATGTTGTTGGTTACAGTTTGCGATGGCACAGGGGAAATATCATGAACTTTATATGTTTTCTAGTTAATTCTTATGTTGTACTGTTATATATAGATTCTACCACTGCATCGAGTGTGATACGATATTTATCCACTCGAGACAGTTAAATTTTCAAATTTAAAACGCGAGGCTCGCCGAGCGTTTTAAATATTTAAAATTTAACTGTCGAGAGTTGATAAATATCGTATTACACGAGATTTGGTGGTGGAATCTGTTTCTCTAATGATTTTCAAACAATATGAAGGCAAACTTATTCCGTCTTTTCGAATGATCTGTAAAAAGATGTGTTCTTTCTATGTGACGGCATCAGGCATGGTCGCCTTTTTTCATGCCGTCACAATAGGAAATTCAGAGGAAAGCAAGTGAATTCGACGTCATAATCGGATTTTAACCAATGAAGAACTGAGATCAAACGAACCACACGTTGATTAAATTTTTTTATACAATGGGTGCAGAAAGGGATAAATTGACGAAGAATTAGAGAAACAGTGTTATACCACTGTCCCAGATTAGCGGGAGGGCTTGGCACCAACAAACTAGTTCAACACAGGAACAAAAGGTATGTGCCTGTCTCAAGTTACCAGTCTGTAATTGAGTTGTTGTAGTTTGTTGCTGCATATCATATTTGGCTTTCGTTCTTTGTTTTGTACATACATTAGGCCGTTGAAAATGTTTTTGCTTTTGTCATTTCGGCTTACAATGCGATTTGTATTTAGTCATTGTGGAAGGCCGCACAGTGAACTGTGTCTTTGTCCCACGGTGGAGAGTTGATTCATTGGCAATCATACCACATCTTCATATTTTTATATTTATACTTAATGCATTACAGTTCTACCTCATCTTATGGCAATTATGCAGTGTATTCAGAAAGAAAGATTGTATTTATAATACGCCAAAAACGGACGAAAAAGATTGACAGCAACAATAGCGAAAGACTGAGGACAACACTCTACATAGCCAATCAGGGTGGAACGGGGGAAATGGGGGCTTGCGATAGTGGTAGTCAATTCATGTCAAAACTGTACATTATCCTGTCTTATGCTGAAAAATTCAACATATATTTACATGGATATTGGAGCGATCTGGTCCCAAGAAGGTTGATAGTTCAAAAACAGGTACTACTGATCTGAACAACAGGGCAAATATGCATTCATATTATGCTTTTATGCATTATTTTGTATCAAAAAGACATTTTAAAAAATGTAATATAGTGATCGAAAGTTCTTTGCTTTCCCTCTGATACCAAAATTACCCAAATATATTTCTAATTGACTAAGTTACAGCTATGCATTTGAAATATTTTGTTTAAAATATGTACATGTCGCGTTCTTTTTGGCTGGTTGCGAATTATTGGTTCTATACCTTTATACTAGATGCCCGAACGATCATACAACGCAAGTTGGTTAGAAAGCTTACAACATATCACGAAAAACGTTTGACGTGTGATAGAAGCGGAAATCTGACAATAGCTCACAAAGTCATTTGGGATACTCGAGAACAGACCAAATATCCAATATATCGTAAATATAATCAGTTATTTTTAGTACATTTCGATGTATATTCTTAGAAACGTAGTAAAATTTATATTTTGTGATTCGATTCACTTATTACAAATTATGCTTGTATTCGTCAAGCATTGGCAAGATTCACAAGAGGTAAAGTGCTTAATCAAAACCTTTCATTGCTTACACAAAATAATTAAAATAGAAAAGGAACTATTTTATATAAATAGATTATTAAGACACAATACGTTTTGGAAAGCTGTACATAAGTTTTGCAGGGGCCCTGACGTGTTAAGATTATTATCCAATCAGCAAGGGGGTTTCCCAATCACTTCTGCATGTGCTTCTCGTTTACTAATTGTTTTGTGAGATCATACTAATTAACCAATGAGATTGCTCATTAATTTTGAATTAACCAATCAGCACTTAATTAGCAGGGCTTTTGTTTTAAACGCGCAATCTTAATTATTCTTAAAGCAGCGCTTGCTTGTAGCAGTCATTTTATATTTTCGGGAAAATAATTTCTTAACCTGCCGTTTTTTACCAGGATCGTATATATTTATTATAACATAATATGGATTAGTATTTTCGAAGTGAAAATGAACCCAGAGATATACGAACGTGCAGACAAACGAATTAGAATCTTATTGAACATTCCCGATTGGTATTTGTTAACAGAAAGTGACATTCGTACTTTTGCAAGATATTTCCGACAGTCCGAAGGAAGTCGACGATTTGTTTATTGGAGTATTAAGCTGGACTGTGCAGCTTCATGCAATGGATATTTCTTCTGTGGTTACATCACAAAGATGTGCGTTTGCGCTTCCAACGCGTCAGTGAGACGCGATTAACTTTTTGCAATCAACTGGATTTTTAATTATTAACATTCAACAGCACATTAAAAATGTCCGACGACGAAGACGTTACGTTCATGACTACAGCCGAAAGACAGTCGTCTGATAAAGTGAGGGCGTGGGCCAATGTCATGAAGCTGACTGAAGCTACAGCCGATGCTATTTTGGAGCTTGGTTTTAACAGCATGGAAGCGTTATCTCTTATCGAAGCTGACGATTTAAAAGAGACTAATATTCCAATTGGACAAAAGAAGCTCTTGTTATAGGCAGTGAAAAAGACTTTTCCACACGAAATTAATGGCGAGTTCGCGGAGACGGCATCTACATCAAGAGCATGCGCACAACGTGGTGACGTAGAATTTCAAGATGGCGAATTTGGAAATGCTTCCGGAGGAAACAAAGATGGCGGCTCCAGTGGAACAAACAAAGATGGCGGCTTCCGGGGACCGAACAAAGATGGCGGCGCCCATGGAAATAACAAAGATGGCGGCTCACCCGAGGATTACTACATACAGGCGGTGCTAAAGCAGTTAGCTAACCAGAAGCAACAAGAACTTTCACCTGTTGCAGTGAATCCAAGTGACAATTCAATGAACAATTTAGGTATAAACTCTAGCATATAAATTAATTTTTATGATATTTCGGATTTTGTTTCATATGATATAGGGGGGACCAGCATGCCTGAGGAACGCCTTATTTCGGATTCATCAGGGGGGCAACTTGTGTTTAAATCGGGACCTTTAAGACCGAAACTTGAATCCCTGTCTCTGTGTCAGTGGTCTAGGGCAAATTTGTCCATCATGTACAAATTGCTAAGCACAGGTGAACTGACACAGACACAGGTGCTCGATTATTTGTAATATACCATGAGATTTTACCACTTGGTGTCATCTTGTGAATTTGTGTCATGGCTGTTTTTTTATACAGAATACCGTAGACTCCAAAAACAACACAATTTTAGGTGGGGCACTGACATTCCTCATTTGCAGTCTGTGTACCTTCGGCCATAAGCCATGTACACTAAACCTCAAGCATCTGGTCCAGCAAAGTTTGCAAGTAAACAGCAGGACAATGTAAAGTATACCTCACACTCTGCAGAAGGTATAGAAATCTGCAGAAAGTATAACAGTAGGAAAGGTTGCGCATTACAAAGCTGTCGTTTTGCGCATATTTGTTCAACCCAGGGGTGTGGGGCCCATCATCAATCCTTTGCCCATCCAAAAAACCGGGTATAAAGGTAAAGCCTGTGCGTGACCTAGATTTTAATGTTTGGCAAGAAGAATTAAAAAATGATTTTGATAAGGATTTTCTTTTACATGGTATAAAAAATGGCTTTGACATTGTTCAAAATGATTTGGCTTTAATAAACATATCAGCAAAAAATCACCCTTCAGCTCTTCCCTCAAGTCCGTTATATGAAAAAGCTCATCAACAGATTTTAACTGAAATTGAAAATGGGAATTATGAGTTTACTAAATCTACACCCAAAATTATCAGTCCATTAGGTGTCATTCCAAAACCTGATGGAGGTGTAAGAATAATCCATGATTGTAGCAGACCACTTGGGTCAGCTGTTAATGATTTTGCTGGGGATATGAAAAAACAAAAGTTTCAATCTGTTGATGATGCAGCAAAATTAGTCACAAAAAATTGTTTCATGGCTAAAGTCGATTTGAAATCTGCTTACAGATCTGTTGGCATCAGTCGCTGTAGTCAACAGGTAACAGGTTTACAATGGACTTTCCCTGACGGTCAAACCCATAACTTTATTGATAAAAAATTGCCCTTTGGCTCAAAATTAGCACCTGGTATTTTTCATAGAATTTCACAGGCTATTCGCCGCATGATGTCACGCAGAGGCTTTACCGTTATTGCATATTTAGATGATTTCTTCATCTGCGAACGCACTAAACAGCGTTGTGCACATGGCCTAAGAGTCTTGATTGATTTGCTGCGCAAGTTAGGCTTTGCAATAAGTTGGTCCAAGGTCTTTGACCCTTGCCAGAAATTAGTATTTTTAGGTGTGGAGATAGACTCCACAACATTGGAATTAAGATTACCTTTGACAAAACTAGAGCAGCTAAGGGCAGAATTAGCAGATTTTAAGCAGCGCAGGCATGTTTCAAAGAAACAATTGCAGTCCCTTGCGGGAAAACTAAATTGGGCTTCTTCAGTGGTTCACGGCGGAAGAGTTTTTCTTCGGAGAATCATTGATGGCATTATGAAGCTTAAGCATGACTGGCACAAAATGCGCTTATGCAGTGATATCTTGCATGATATCCATTGGTGGTACAATTTTATGTCCACTTTTAATGGGAAATCCCTCTTACTAAACACTAATCCTGTCACCTCAGTATATACTGATGCTTGCAAAACAGGTGCAGGGGGGTATTTTTGGTACAGATTGGTTTTATTTTAATTGGAAAGAGGATTTCCCATTTGCGCAATCTTTGCATATAAATGAGCAAGAGGCATTTGCTGTGGCTTTGGCGGCCAAGCGATGGGCTAAGTGTTGGAAAAATAGGCGTGTACATATTTTTTGTGATAATTCATCAACTGTAAGTTGTATCAATAAGTGTACGTCTAAGAACAAGCTTTTGATGACTTTTTGCGCGAGTTGTTCTGGCTTTCTGCTTCTTATAATTTTCATCTTGTGGCTATTCACCTGCCAGGCAAGGAGAATGATATGGCTGATGCTGTTTCATGGTTGCACGATTTAAAGTTATGTAAATTTGTTATGAAGGAATGCTTACCAGCCCCGTTGTTTGTGCATCACCTTGTTTCTCACATGTCCTGTCACTCCCTCCGTTTTCTTTTATTTAGGCTTACTGGCACGAAGAGAAGTTGCTAACTTGGACAATTTAGTGGACACCTTCAGGAGTTACACTTATGCTGAATCCACAAAAAAGACTTATCAGACTTATTTGAACTAGCTCTTACAGAAAATTTTGTGCACTAGTTAATATTCCTTTAGTACCTTTAAGTAAAGAAAATCTAGCCAGATACATTGCTTTTTTGTCACAAAAATTGTGCTTTAATTCTATCAGTAATTATATATCAATAATTAAACTTTTACATTTGGAGGCAGGCCAACCACCACCAATAGATTCTCATTATATTCATACCGTTATGCAGGGGGCTAAACGTGTATTAGGTACAATGATTCAAAGAAAACTCCCTATTACACCTCAGCTTTTAAAAAAGATTTTAACTACCCTGGATCTTCAGAATCAAAATCATATTAGTTTTTGGGCAGCATGCTTGGTTGCCTTTTTCTCCTTTTTCAGAAAGTCAAATTTATTTGTCCCCACTTTGGCTGAATTTGATGCTGGTAAGCACCTCAGCAGACAAGACATTGTTTTTCAGACAAGTTGCACATTGCTTCGCATAAGAAAGTCAAAGACCATACAATTTGCAAACAGGTTGTTGGAAATTCCACTTCCCAGAATCCTTAATTCCCCTCTTTGTCCTTCACAGGCACTGCTATTACATGTTAAAATGATACCAGCTGTCAGCTGTCCATCTCCTGCCTTCTTGCACTTATCTAAGGGGACAACAGTTCCTTTAACATATTCCACGTTTCTTCACATGCTTAAGCATTCGTTATCACAACTTAAATTGGACACCAGTGGCTACTCTGGTCATAGCTTTCGCAGGGGTGTGGCTACATTCGCTTTGGAATGTGGAGTTTCGTCAGATCTCATCCAGGCTCAGGGGGATTGGAAAAGTGAGGCATACAAAGGTTACTTGAACCCTTCCTTTTCTCATAAACAGCAAGTCATGAATGCCTTTGCATCCGCTCTAAGTCAATAGCGTCCTTCTGATGCATGAACCTAATTTACTACCTTTCCACAGGTTTGGGATTATTTTGGAGTACCACAGTTTTTCAACTTTATTTTGCTTTCTTTGTAAATATGTTTATTGCTTATTGATATGCAAAGAAAATATTAAACTGTGATTCTTCTCCCAAACCTGTGTTTGTTCAGTTTGTACTTAATACAATAACCAGTTAGCATATGTCTTGGTCCTGTTACTTAACTCTGATTAGTGTAAACCAAGTGCCTTTGTCTGCACTGTAACTCTTCAGCATTTGGTTTCGGGCACCAAAGGGATAGCAACCTGGTTATTGGTACCACTGGCCTTATTAATCAACATCAAATAAGGGAGGATCTGGGTGGGACAAGTTTTGTGAATTAATTGTTAAATTAAATCTTCTTACTGTTTTCTATTTTTTTCCGTTGTTTTCTGCCTTTGTCCAATCCATTCATTTAATTCTCTAGATTAGAGAATTGGGATAAAAATTTCCTTTTCTGTTTATATTGAAAGTACCCATACAAATCAATTTTTATTCGTTCTTGTTTTCCAAGCTGTTTTACAAATGTCTTGCAAAATATTTGAACTTACCACAGGTATGAAATGTAATAGCAGTAATGTTTCCTGAAAAAGTAATTCAAGTATATCTAAAATTTGATCTTTATTACATTTAATCAGTATGCAGTGAACAAAAAAAGTCATGTTATTTCATATCTTGACAATACAATTTATCTTTTACTTTCATGAAAACAGTTTATAAGGAAAGATATTAATAGGAAGTCGTTTTTTTCCAGAAATTATGTGTCTTTTTCTTTAGTAGGTTTAATTTGGCACGAAGGCTTTTTGAACTTTTATGATAATACTCACCTATTGCCATTATGATACTTAATACTATAAATATAGAAGCACATGTCTTGAATATATTGGATAAGATATCTGAAAAATAAAATAATAGTCACTTAAAACTACTCGATGTGGTGTTTATAATTCACATAACAAAATTTAAAAATTATAGTTATAACACACACATCCTCCTCCCCCTTCCCCAAATACAAAAAAGAATACAACAATTTACCATAGCACAATTACACAATAGAGGGATGTATAAGTACCGAGCAACGTCAACAGATGAAGTCGGTAATCTCCATCTCCCCCTTCCTCAAAAGAAAAAATAATATAACAAAAACAAAGTGAAAACAAACAAAAAAACAATACAAGCAAACCGTTTAAAACATTAACTAAGAAGTAAAGAAGAATGATAAATCGATAAATCAAGAAAATGGGCAAAAACTGAGTTTTCAGATAACACATAGACTTTGTATAAAAGTGACACCTACAATCCACGTATTCCAACATCAATCCGAATTCCGATAGCATAAAATCTTATTCTGAAGACTCCGTATACATACTATAAGTATTTGATTGTAATTATATTACAAAATATTAATCACATGATGCTAGTATTACTAGATTTGCAATTGCTTTACATCAATTCGACACTAATTTAGTGTTTCGGCGGTTTTTGTATTATATGCTAATGATAAATGTATAACATTTATGAATGGGTTTAAGCATTGTAGGCCCGCCATCATCAGGGATTTACCTATCAATTTATTTTAATGTTGTCGTTGTCAATAGATCTGCTATATTTTTATGCTTTTTATAAGCTATTATTGGTTTGCTTGAAAATATTTCGTTGCAAACCGCATTATGTTTTAATAGATCCCAATGTTTACTAATGCATTGTTTTAATTTATGAATGCATGGATTGAATTTCGTTGCCAATACTAAAGGAATTTCCTTTGTGTGTTTTTTGGCTTTTTTTCTGATTAAATCAGATCTATTATTTATTTTTACTAATTCCGATTCATTTAATCGGTGTATTTTAGGCAAGATATACATATACCCAGGCCCATAATCAATTTGATTACCATTATTAAGGTAATTAAATGTGGAGTAATCTATAACACCTTTGGTGTACATGCCTTAATAATGGTAATCAAATTGATTATGGGCCTGGGTATATGTATATCTTGCCTAAAATACACCGATTAAATGAATCGGAATTAGTAAAAATAAATAAATATGGGTTTAACATTGATAACATAATGCCGCCATGTCGGCCAATCATATCGCAGATTGGTACTGTCACAGAATTTATTGGACGCTATATCGACTATTTTTTAGTAACTATGGTACAAAAACAACACACTTATATAAAGGATACGTCTGATCTAATATACAAGTTGGAAAGGATCAAGCCTAATGCAGATTGCTGGCTGTGTAGCTTTGATGTAGTATCAATGTACACTAATTGCCCGATTAATGAATTATTATCGGCAGTTAGAATTTCGTATGATCAGTTTGATAAATCAGATTACAAAATCAAATGCCCACCTACGGATGATTTAATCTATCTCCTCAAATCAATTTTAGAGAACAACATTTTTGATTTTAATGGAAGGCTTTATAAGCAAAAAATAGGAGCCGCGAGAGGAGCAGTGTCTAGCCCGGAAATCTGTGATATACTCATGTATAAAATTATGAAAGAAATTATTTCTAAGTTTGAACATAGAAAAAATATCTTTTTCTATGGAAGGTATCGTGATGATATTATATTAATATATCACGGCGAATTGAAGGAAATAAAGAATTTGTTAGAGTTAGCAAATAATCATCATTCGTTCCTGAAATTCACACTAGAATTTTCATCTAAAGAAATAATATTTCTTGATGTTAATATTTTCAAAGGAACTAGGTTTTCTAATGAAAATATCTTGGATGTGAAAACACACTTTAAACCGACAAATGCCTTCCTTTATCTAGATCGTAAAAGCTGTCACAGTCAACACGTGTTTGCAGGGTTTATAAAGGGCGAAGTTATCAGACACATTAGAACAACAAATAATGATGTTGATTTACAATATATTTTGTTACAGTTCAGATTGAACTTAATAAATAGAGGATACAAGGATATTGAAATCGAAAAGTACCTAAATGAGGCATTATCATGTAATAGATCTGATTTAATCAGAAAAAAAAGCAAAAAAACACACAAAGGAAATTCCTTTAGTATTGGCAACGAAATTGAATCCATGCATTCATAAATTAAAACAATGCATTAGTAAACATTGGGATCTATTAAAACAGGATGCGGTTTGCAACGAAATATTTTCAAGCAAACCAATAATAGCTTATAAAAAGCATAAAAATATAGCAGATCTATTGACAACGAAAACATTAAAATAAATTAATAGGTAAATCCCTGATGATTGCGGGCCTACAATGCTTAAACCCATTTTTAAATGTTATACATTTATCATTAGCATATAATACAAAAACCGCCGAAACACTAAATTAGTGTCGGATTGATGTAGAGCAATTGCAAGTCTAGTAATACTAGCATCATGTGATTAATATTTTGTAATATAATTACAATCAAATACTTATAGTATGTATACGGAGTCTTCAGAATAAGATTTTTTGCTATCGGAATTCGGATTGATGTTGGAATACGTGGATGTTAGGTGTCACTTTTATACAAAGAAAACAGATCCAAAACAAACGTTAGAACAATCGTCAATAAACACTTTTATTGGAAGCTTACTTAAGCGAATGGTGTGTTTAAGTGGCAAGAATGGGCACAAACATGATGAGAAGATTATTTCATATATTTTATTAAAATTAAAGTAGGATAAAAAGGCCAATATGGTGAACAACAGTCATTTGCAATTAAGGAACGACTATTTAACTTAAACATGTTCAAAGGGGGAGGTAGTTTTTATTTCTTAAAAACTATTCTGGTCAGGCAGATGATAAAAAAAGTATTCTGAATCCTAATTTTCCCCATACCTTGTAGTGTTAAAATTTGAAAACAATATAATTTGATCGATAGCATAAAAAAAAATAAATACAAATGTTGGAGATTAATTAATTAACTACATAATATATAACAATGATATCTACACGAGTAATCGTTTTTTTTTTAATAATTCTTTCCCAATATTAAATCAACTCAGCATAAACAATTTAATGAAATATCAGTTTTCAAATACCTTTTCAGTAGCGCTTAAATATTACACTAACCAATCAGCAAATTATGGCACTAGACTCACGATGGTGTTCGCGAGGAGTCTTGACAGCGTACTAGCACTAGCCGCAAATGAAAATCAAGGGGTTTCTTTTAAATTGATTTTAAATTCCAATAATCGTAAAATTATTTAGGTCTCGAAAAATTTATGTGTCAGGCATTATTACAGAAACAAGGAAAGAATCAAAAAGACAACAAATGCACAGAAAATAAAACCGCTCGACGAATTAATAAACGTCATGACCAAAAGAAAAAGATGCTCCACAGAGCCTGAAAAGCTTATATGGCAAATTATATGAGATTTCAATAATTTACGTGTACTACTTTTAAAAATAAACTGTTATCACAGAGATATGTCTCGCCTTTTTGTAATTTTGATTATGCAAATCATCTAAATAAGCAAAAGTTTCAAAGTCAATAGACCATGACTGAGGGGACAGGGCCAAATAATCTCTATGGAAATAAGATGTTCCAATGCTAATACAACTGCATACCAAATATGATTGACCTACCACTTGTGGTTCACTATTAACTAGACCTTATCACAAACTAATACATTGTTGGCAACGCCGCCGCAGACGCCGGAAACAGCATACCCATGTCTCGCTTTTTGACTCCGTAAAGGCGAGACAATAAAGATGTTCAAGAGCATAACACGTCAGGAAAGGGAACCCTAAATGGACTATATCACAGATTTTACTAAAATTTTGCATATATACATGTACATTGTAACCTTGGCTAGTTGAACAACATCTGAAAATCGAAAAAAATAATGCATTCCTCTCTTTTATTGTCTGAAATTTTACTGATTGCATTTTCAAAATAGGTGAATATTTGTAAAGAAAGCACATAAAATTCTGCGAATTATTTTCAATTTTCATTTAAAGTTCAACAAGCAAAAAGTTGTATGCAAAATTTTACCAAAATCTGTGACATAGCCCATTTACAGTTTATTGAACTGAAATTGATGTTAGGGCTATTCCATTAAAAAGGAGGTACTAGGGTCGGAAGGCAATTTTTAAGTACCCTCATGACCAAGAGGAATGTACCATGTATCTTAACACCAACCAACAGGAAGTCGTTTCATGATAATACCAGAACCAACTGGAATATAGCTAACTTATTTTTTACTGGCCCTTCAAAATTGAGAAGAAATTACCTCTTGGAATTGTAGATATATGTATACTCTGTAAAAACATCTACATGTAATATCAACATTTATTAATGATAAAGAAAATTACTGTCACATTTCATTGGATTTTGACATGAAAATTTGTGAACTAAAAGTTATTTTGAGTTTCTGTATAAAATAATTCATGCTTTTTCTTTCTTTTCCATATATCTTTTGGTTTTCAATTCTAGTGTTTATATTTCATCATCATAGATGTATTTTGTCACCTGCCTAGAATTATTATTTGTTTTATTGTATTTGATCGGCAAACCCTGAATTACCCTTATCCGATCCCGGAATCTGATCCGGTATTGTAATCGTCTTCATTTCCGGTTTATGGCATCCATTGTTCTTCAATGTTGTTTTTGTCAGTCAGATACAATTTTACTCGTATTTACACATTACTTGTTGGCGAATTTCAGAATAAAGCTAGCGGTTGAACAAAATGAGCATCGCTGTCATGAATAATAAAGATAAAAATAAATTTTGAGATCGTTTGGAAGTTTTTGTCCCAAATTGAAAACTGGGAAAAAGTAGGGTATTTGCCATTGCCAATAGGAATGGGTCCGGTATTTGAACCCTGTGGAATCCCAGGAGGGGTTTACGATCTCAATAGTAATATGGTTTTAAAATGACCAAACTGATGGTTAAAAAGGTCGGCAAAGTTTATTTTTTTTTTCTTTCAAATCGAAGGTCCTTTCATTAGAATTTGACAAAGTTCGTCATGTGCTTGTCATTAAAGGGAAATAACTCTTGCACTTCCGGAACTGGTACCATAGGTAGAATACAACGTTGCACCTGCCGCTGCGTAAGTCGCGGGAACAGTTATGTTTTCCAAATATCACGATATGAGCAGGAGACAAAAACAATCGGTTATATAAGTCCTTGCAAAAACAAATAATAATAAATAACGAAAAATAACACAATGAAACCGACAGTCACAAAAACTGACTGTCAAAGAAGACCAACAACCAACAATACTTAGTTTCTCTAAACACCAAGGACCACTGGCCATAAACACTTCAACACATCAACAACCAACGGGATTTTTTATAATTGCCGTCCGACCCTGGTACATTCTTTTTAATGGAATAGCCCTTAGAAACTATCGGTCGACAAATGGTTTTCAATAATGAGTAAAGACTTTCCCGTGTTGTCCGTTGTAAAAGGCCCTGACATGAAAATGTGAAACAATTCAAACGATGAAAACTGACTCAATACAAAACAAAAATCGAAAATAAACATAACAGACAACTTATGAATTACCGATGCCGGGCACATGGAAATAAAGAATTTGTCGGGGTTAAACTTGCAATTGACCGTTAACATCGGACAGTGTTGTAACTGCACTCCATAAAAACAAACTAACAATTTGATAGAATGACTCAAATAATCAGATTTCCACGTAGCACAAACACATCAAACAAACATTAAAGATAAAAAGTCCCGATCAAATAGTACTATGCAGGTATCGAAATCTAATTCATAGCCAATTACAACTTATAAATAAATCATGTTTCCAAACTGAAATTTCAATAATTCAATTGGGGTAAATTATTTTTTTTTAAGTGTGTCGTATTTACAAAAGTATTAAAAATGTTTTTTTTTTTCGTCCGAAATATTTCTTATTCCTGTAGGAAATAAAAATCATTGTCGTTGCAAATTAGATATATACATGTACTTGTGTACAGAATACAGAATAAGGGTAAGCTCATTATCAGCACTATTGCATTCACAAAGTCGCCACCACGAAAGACTTACTTTTAATGTTTCCCCTAGAGATGATATAAATAAAAATTTATGTCAGCGCATATAAATAAACATTTGCACAAAACATTTTGCAAGGTTTAAATGCTAGAGATATAAATATCATATCAACATCGCTTGTCTTGTTCCGTTCAGAGTTTATTTGAAAGTGACTCTTTCCATATTTGTCTTTTAGTATTTTGTGTTTTTTTGACAGACATCTTGTTTATATTGTAATACCGTCATAACATTTATAAATAGACTTTTTTAAATACAAAATGGAAAAGGAATAATCATTCATGATTCCTCTGTGTATTTAAACAAATCAAAACAAATACTTATAATAAAGCAAAACACCAAGATAACAATGACATACCTCGTTCAATTCTAAAAGTAGTATCTTTTTGAAAGTTAAAATCCATGTTCGAAAAGTTGGTCTTCACTGTTGGTGGCAACCTGATGATCAACAATCATAAATGTGTATTAATTATGCATTGTTGAAATATTTGAAAGCTTATTCCATTCGGCAATTCATAGCTTTCAAAAAAATTATACTAGTATTATATTAAGAGTTATATTTCGACCTGTCTATAGAAATTATTCTACTTGACACAAAGGTAGGTTTTGCCTGTGTATATTTTCGCGAGTATAATGAAAATGTTGAAAGAAGTAGGGCCGTTGTCCGATGAATTTATGTCAAACAAGGGCTATTTATACAAAGAAATGCCTGAATCTACATGAAAGCTCCATATGTTAATGTTAAGGTTGTAATACAATTGTGTCCTATCTCTTAAGTTACTTAAAGGTGTAACCTAATTTTACCTACTCCAAAATGACTTAAAATTTCAATTTTGAAAATCTTCAATGCAAATATCACAGAAACATGGACATCTTCAATAATAGGCTTTTATTTTTATAAACGTCAATGTTAATCACTGAATGACATTTTGATTAAGAAGACATGTGAAAAAAAATCTTGCGAAATATTCTACGAAAATTATTCATCCTTGTTTAATATACAAATTCTTCGTATCACAATTATTTTTTCCTGAATTATACCTATGTCTTTAAATAGCAATTGTATGATAATCTATATACTTGGTAATATAAAACAATGGCATTCCGATAACAATAAAACAAAGGAAAACTAGTTACAACGTTTTGTACTTGCTGTGACTAACCGTAAGTGATTGCTCTGATACTGATCAAATTCAAATATGTGTCAACAACTGGATAAGACAATCATTGTATGCAAAGATGTTATCCTCTAAGGGAGCTACCATTTGATTTTTATGGGGGGCTAGGATGAAAAATTTTGTCCTGCCTTTTTATTTTTCCCTCTATTCGGTCCTGCCTTTTTATTTTTCACTCTATTCGGTCCTGCCTTTTTTTTTTTAGTTTATCCTGACTTTTTTTTTTACATAAATTGTCATCCTGCCTTTTTTTCAAATTTCATCCTAGCCCCCCATAAAAATCAAATGGTAGCTCCCTAATGTTTGTTAATTCATTGTTTCATTTTCTTTATTTTAAAATATTCAACTTTGGGTTCACTATCTACAATACAGCAACGATTTACAATAGACATTAACGCAGTCGCTTAAACAATGTACAAGTCAATCCACAAATATAACAAAGGTATCAAGTCATGTTTGTAAATTTCGGTTTTGCAAAGTTGATTAAAACATTTATTTTTCGGATATAATTAATCCTTGAAAAAAAATCCCGCTAGAAGTGAAAAAAAGTATTTACCGTTTTGTCGTTGAATATCTAACCAAAGTGTCTATCGAACAGTTGTTTTCTAAAAGATTAAAAATATGATACAAAGGTATATTATAAAATACCTATAGGTAACAGATAAGTATATGCTAGCCTCTAAACAATTATGTCGTTAGTGATTGACAAAAAATGGAATACGATGAGTGTACAAGGAGCTAAAGTCAATTGTGAATATTGTTTTTATTGATGTAGATATTGATTTTGTTATTAACAAATTCAAACCATACTAAAGAGTACACATATGTACTTAACGGTTTTACAATCTGTCGATATTTATAGATTGGCATTGCAGAAGGTCATGATGTTATCTAACTGTTAGTGACGTCTTTACACTAAATCCATTGGATGTTGGATGTGTACCGATTGATATTTTAGTCTTAGATGCATGATTTTTTTCATTGGTTGTTACTTGATATGAACTGGCTGTCAGTAACTGAGAGTACTCTCAGATCTGTACTTTGTGTCTTTTTATTTTTGGTATGTATAAATGCCCGTTTACTTCTACTTTTTGTTTTTGTTAGATTTATTTCTATGTGTATCCATCAGGTGAGTTAAGGCTATTTCAACTGATTTTTAAAGTTTGTTCTTATGATGTACTGTTACACCACTTTCACAGGTTGGAGGAGGGTGAGCGATCACAAACATTTGTAACCCCGTCTCATTCTTTATGTGCCAGTCCCAAGGCAGAAGCATGTAGTCCAGTGGTTGTCGTTGGTTCATATTTGTTAATCGTAAACTGTTTTGTTATTAATTAGGCCGTTAGTTTTCTCAATTTAATTGTTTCAAAATTTTTCATGTCGGGGCCTTTAATAGCCGACCACACAGAATGTGTTTTCTTTATGTTGAAGGCCACACGTTTGTCTATAATTGCTTACATCCACTTTATTTGAACTTTGGAGGATAATGGTCGCATTGGCAATCATACCACATCACCTTATTTTTATATGTTTTCGCTTTTTTTAATGCCAAAGTTTGAAAGCACTATTTCTGAGTTAAGTAAAAGCTGTTTATAAAAAGCTTCTACTTACTATATCATTAAACGATTACCTGTAAAATGAATGAATGACTCGTCAGACGTATTTTTAAGGCACGAACAGTCTTCTTGAAAGGGAATGCAAAATGAATTATCTTCTGGTGATGAAACTAATGAATATCCGCAATCATTGTCACAACGACATTTACGATTGTCTTTGGTGGACCCATTGTGGTGAAAAACAAGCCCTTTACCCTCACATAGGGACTTCTTGTATATACAATCACTGTTTCCCTCAGTACTAAATACAAATGGCTGAAAGCGTTCAGAGACGCATTCTTCACTGTCAAGGTTTCCTCGTAAAACACACTTTGTACCTACATTATATATGAACGAGACAAAATATAAAATTCGAAATACAATTATGATATTACGCATGTAATAAAGGTATAGTATTTTGCAGAGCAATTGGATATTTAGCAATTCTCTTTTTCTTAATAGAAATAAAGCTTCTGTTCAAGAGTAATAAAATTATATGGAGGTTTGAAAATGCTTCTGTTAATGAATGTTAACTTTGTACTATTCATTGCAATTTAATGTACTGTAAAATAATGTCTCTTGATCACGAAGGAGCTTCTATCGATGTTTCGTCATAATCCAAAAAGGGTTTGTAAAGATACTAATGTATAATTTAAAATACGTAAACCACAAATTCAACAGAAATGTTGGCGACGCCGATGACAAGACGACACAACGGCTAAATGAAGGCCAGCCATAAAATGAATATGCTTATATTGTCGGTAAATATAACATAAGTGTGTACTCCTTACTTCAAATAAAATTATAAATGTTATTCATTTCGAAAATTTTGTATGTATATAGTGACTGCAAGTTAATATGCTTATATCTTATTTTTCATTTGTCAGTTACCATTTGCCGTTTTTGGTATTTCAGCGATGATCTATGAATATAAACATATTACCCAAAGGCCACAGAGTCGGCTTGTCTCGACAAGACTCGCTATACTCCTTCTGGTAATCATCCCAAAGACAATAGTATTTAGACGGTTCTGTACATCTTTTTGCTGCAATTACTTTCCATTCAGATATGTGAGGACATCTTTTTTCGTATTCAGTTATTTTATATCTATTGCATGTTGTATGATCAAATAGCAAACCCTACATAATAAAGAACAATTATTATTGCATTGAGAAGCTTAAGTGTTTATGCATGTCCGTGGTTTACAAAAAAATGACTACTTACAGTTAAAATGACAAGCTACCTTCACTACTACCACACCTGCTAAAACATAAACAAAATTTGGTATGCTTTTATATATTAAAATGCCTACATGTATATACGAATTTCCCTTTAAAAACATATATGTTACTGACGGGCAATGCCGCAAAAATGTTAGAGCTAATGTTCTTGATTATTGTTGAAAGGGGGAAATTCAATATATCCTTTCCCAAGAGGACTATCAAAAACCATGAGAAGGGGAAAAACAGACAAGCCATTGCAAAAAACAAAGTATTTAACACAATCCACAAACGACTGTATGGAAAGTATGAGAAGATTCGGTCCATAAATTTGGTCATACGATACATTAAACCAAAAGAAAATTAAAGTAATAAATCTGACGTTAGAGTGGTTACATGTTATTACATTTAATCATGTTAATTGTTAATAAACTCCAAAATTGTGTCAAAAATTACAACTAATTATAATATTACTTAATTATATTTTGTCTGTTTTGGGTGTTTTTTGTGACTTTGGAAATATCTATAATAGACCAATCCATAAAGGTTGAGAAATTTGTAGAATCCCGACAACAAATTTGAGGTATGGAAAGATGACAAGTTCCCAGTGACAATACATGTAGAATACTTTTTTTTTTGTACGTAAAACCCCTAACAGTTCAAAGTTTTAAAAGTTTTTAACTTCATTTTTTATCAAAGTTTTTTAAAATATTATATTTAAAATTTTGGAATATAAATAAAATCAAATTCGTTTTATAATTTAATGATTTCGATTTTTAATCAAACTTTGAAAATACTAATTTTAACGCAAAGATTCGATCATGGTCCGTGTATATTTGCGTCCATTCGTTTTTCATTTTGAAATATCAAAAACAAAAAACAAAAAACGAGAGTGTTTTCATTTTTCGTTTTTGATTTCTCAAAAACCAAAACAAAAAACAAAAGTGTTTTCATTTTTCGTTTTTGATTTCTCAAAAACCAAAACGAAAAACAAAGGTGTTTTCATTTTTCGTTTTTGATTTCTCTAAAACCAAAGTGTTTTCATTTTTTGTTTTTGATTTCTCTAAAACCAAAATGAAAATCAAAAGTGTTTCCGTTTCTCGTTTTTGATTTTACTAAACAAGAATTTTGTATTCAATTTTAATTATTTCTCGTTTTATAATGTACAATGTTTTCCTTTCTTGTTTCTCAGTCATTGATAGTAAATAATGCCAATGTAAACACCCCGGTGTTCTTTCAGCTTAATGTAGACAAAATAGTCCGCCTGACTTATGAATTGAACTACGGTGATAAATGAATCAAAGCCTTTCAAATTACCTTGTTTATATCTTTAATAAAAAATAAATTATTATATTTAAATATTAAACGAATCATAAATTTAAATTGTACAATATAATATTATATATAGATGGTACAAATAAATAGATTGATTACAACATCACATTAACAAGGGAGGTTACTACTTTTAAAAACTTATAAGAAAACTACCCCGGTCGTTAAAGTATACATGCACAGTCACTGTAGTTATCAGATCTTTAATCGAAGATAATGTCGACGGATGCAAAAGAATTTATCAATCTGAACAATAAGGGTGCGTGAACTTTACTTTTAAATTTAGAAAGGTTGATCTCAGATGATTAGAATTCATAACCAAGGTCCATTATACGAACATGCAGGACGATAATGTGTTTTGCTTGATCAATTGATTGAAAAACAAATTTCCGCAATTTCACAATTCAAACCGGGATTAGCATTCAATCATTTTGCCATTCGGAGCCTACTCGGTATTAGTTTTACTTATTTTTGAAAGCTATATGGTGACCTTAACTAGAGCCTGGGTGTGGATGGGGGTTTACGGAATAGAGAATAGTGGGCAAAAAAATATAAATAATAGAGACAATGGACCAAGAAATAAAAAAAAATAGAATAATGAGGTGTTAAAATATAAAAAGAATAGAATAATTGGCAAAAAGTATAAAGAAATAAACATGATAAAGAATAGTGAAAAATGGCCTGAAACACTGATTAAAGAATAGAGAAAAATGAAATAGAATATCAAAGAATACAGAAATGAAGAAATACGCATCCAGACCATCATACTAGTTGCCTAACCCAACGTTATTTTGTCTCCGGTAGATTGTTATTGGTTTTCATACGTTTTCTTTTTATTTCTATGTCTATCAATTAAGACATTAGCTTTCATAATTTGCCAGCTTATTACATTATAAAAAAAGACTAAGCCGAACATCACTCTGGATTTTTTCTCAAGTAGACCTCAGCTAACCACCCTACCACACCATTACCGAAAAGTTATAAAAAAAATCCACGGCAATACTTTTGTCAGCACTAGGTGCAAAGGGAAGCTGGGTACCTGAGGTCTTCTGGAGAAAAAGTCCATGGTGTAGGATAAAGCAAAACATTGTAATCCACATAGCCAAGTGTGTGGCTGTTCTTTTCAGGGTATGAATGGTTCTTTTCTTCGTTGAAGACCCTCCAGCTACTTTCAAGATGAAGAACAGGAGTAAAAGCCCTGTTCATTGATAATTTGTATTTTTTCTATGTATTGTGTGCGATTTTGTTCCATGCACATCTCTTTATTTTCTGTTTTAGGGCCTAAACACGGCTCAACACAAGTTTAGCCCTTCAATATTAAAGGTCATATGTTACGTTATTGTTTCGGATAAGAGTGAATTTGGTACCTATTAAAACGTTTAAACCAGCTGCATTTGTTTGCACCTGTTCTAAGTCAGGAACCTGATGTTCAGTAGTTGCTGTTTGTTGATGTGGTTCATAAGTGTTCTCGTTTCTTGTTTATTATATAGATTATACCATTGCATAGTTTTCCCGTTTGAATGGTTTTGCACTGGTCATTTTGGGGCCCTTTGTAGCTTGCTGTTCGATGTGAGCCAAGACTCCGTGTTGAAGATCGTACTTTGACCTATAATGGTTTTTCTTTTACAAATTGTGACTTGGATGGAGAAATGTCTCATTGGCACTCATACCACATCTTCTTATATCTATATATGGTCTTTTTAAGTTAATTGGGAGATTGGGATTTCTAGCTTTAATCTCACCCATGTCAGCTTTTTATTTGTATTTACAGAAAAGAGAGCTAGTTTTGTATTCTTTAATATCCTGTAACAGTTTAATTTTCAATGAAGAAAGGACAGTTTTTTCTATGTCCGGTAGCATCATATCTGGATATCATATCTAGACATCGGCTGTTGTCTGCTCTTTGGTCGGGTTGTTGTCTCTTTGACATATTCTCCATTTCCATTGTCAATTTTATTATCGGTAGGCATTTAAAATCGCCAAACCATACACGACCGTTCATTAGTCATCGTAGATCTATTCCAAGTTTTTAAAATAAGTCTACACAAAGCAGAAAATGAACTTTTACAACAAGGAATATTACACAACTGAAGCCATAGTCATAAAGATCGATTGACTGATTGGTGTTCCTTTAATGTCGCCGCAGAACATAAAATTATTACCTGATCTTCATTCTCAACATCTTCAATCTCTATTGTTCCCAAGGAAGCAACCATTTGATTCTCTGGGGTGGGGCAGGGATTTGTACCCGAAGTCAATAATTTTTTTTAACCCAGACTGAAAAACATGCCTTTATCCATGGCCACACACAAACACAATAATATTTTCAAGATTTATTAAAAAAATATTTTTTTACACTTTTATTTTTTTATGTTGTTTTGAAATATTAATTTGACTTGAATTTATACGAATTTACTAAATATACATGTTTATACCAAGCCAAGTCCGTTTATATCTTGTTTCTCGCTTGACTATACAAAAGGCCAGGACAGCTTTGACCATCATTTGTCGTCTTTGATAGATATGTTTGACTGATAAGCTGTCTATATAAAGTAATGGGCCAATGGCATGAAGACATCACCAAATCACCATACACAATACACAAAAAGACACCTAGAGCTTACCATATGGTCTTTAACTACCCACCAACAGGCAGTAAGCTCTGGTTGGCCTTAAACACAAATCCAAGGGCACAGCAAAATGAGAATGTGGTATGATTGCCAATGTGACAACTATCCCCAAAGTTCAAATGAAGTGGATGAAAGCAATTATATATAAGCAACCGTACCACCTTCAACAATGAGAAAAAAACCAGTAGGGTATAGTCGGCTATGAAAGGCTCTGACATGAAAAATATGAAACAGTTCAGTTGAGAAAAAAACGGCCTAATTTATAACAAAATAAAACGAAAAACAAACATGACAGACATCAACAAACGACAACCATTGAACTACAGGCTCCTAACTTGGGACAGGCACATACAGTATGTGGCGGGGTTAAACATGCAAGTGAGCGCTCAACCCTCCCGTTAACCTGGGACGAGTTTTGTTACAGAACAAGGGTTTAACATATCAGATCGATACAAAACAGAAAAATACATCTAACAAAAGCACAGACCGGACGTGGCAGGGTATTTATACATCCTTAACAAACAAAAAAGGACACAAAGTACAGATCTGAGAGTAATCGCAGTACTGACAGCTAGTTTAAAGCCAATAACAACTAATACAAAAATCATGTATCTAAGACTAAAATATCAATCAGTACACATCCAACATCCAATGGATTTAGTGTAAAGACGTCATTAACAGTCAGAGAAAGACATGACCTTGTGCAATGCCAAATCATAGGTATCAACAGATTGTAGTACCTTGATGTGTATAACAATAATATGTAGTATAATTTTAAGTTACTGATAACAAAATTAATATTTATACCAATAAAAACAATATTCAAAGATCTATTTACAGTGTTCAATTGGTAACCTTTTAAAATAAGTTTATTTAAAGGATTGATAAGTTTACCCTGATCGTTTTTAATTTACATGCATACAATTTCTATTTATACTATTATTGATAAATACAATA